ATTCAGCAGCAGAAGTTTCAAACAGTAAAAAAGCTACTTTAGTTCTGTTCCTGTTTTAACAGGAATAGGGGGGCATCCATAGAAAGAACGCCATGTGAGACACAGCGGCATGTCCATCATCAGGGCTAGGGATATGAACTCGGCTGCAGAGGCTGCCTTTTGCTGACAGCTTTGCGAGATGGAATTGATTTGTATTTTTTCCATTTTTGATTTTCTTTAATGTGTTTTTCCATTTACTGTTGTTTAGTCTAAGGCACTTCCATTACCCTCCTCACCGTACTATCTGAGCACCTCACACTCTGATGTATTTAACCTCCCTCACACTTCTGTGAGATAGGGAAGTGCTAGCATCCCCATTTCACAGATGGGGAACTGAGGCACAAAGCAACTAAGGGTTGCTAAATTGCAATCGGGGGTGGGGGGGCAGGGCTGGTTATTGCATCTCATGTAGACATATCCCAGCTAGCTTTAATTTGAGTAATTACCCAGGGTTCCAGGTGGGCTTGTTTAGCCCATGCTGATGGGCACAGTACTCCAGTTCCTGAGCTAGCTAGATTGGATATGTCTCCCTGAGCTCCAGTCACACACTAAGTGACTTGCCTAAGGACACATAGGAAGTCTATGGCAGAACAGTGAATTGAACCTGGGTCTACTTGGTTCCAGGCTAGTTCCCTAACCACTAGGCCACCCTTCTCCTTTCTGCAGCCTCTCTCTATCACTATATATTGGTAGCGGCAGCTACATCATGCATACCAATGCTAGGTCACAGAATTATAATTCATGAGCTTTGGCAGCATATTTTGGGGGTATTTCCCCCCAAGAGCCATAATTTAGGGTGTTTCCAGCTGCTAGCTCTCATTAAAATAAACTAAAAATACATTAACAACTTTCTTTCCTACAGAATCAATTGCTTTAGTTGTCACAGGGTTGTTGAGTGATGATGTGGAATGGGAGGGGCAGTGTCCATGAGACAATTTATTAACATGTAGCCCATTTTATGGGAGTTTGCAAACCCAGGTAGATATAAAAGGGCCAAATTATGGCTCCTGGAGGAAATGCCCCAAAATACGCTGCCAAAGCAGTGTTAAGTGCACCCATATTCTAGCTGGCAGAAGGCCCAGGAAAAGCCACTCATGACCTCAGGTCTGCCCCCCAGCAATTCCGGGCCCCAGGGCAGAACAGTCAATGGGCCCCCACGCACGCACAAGCCATGCCCACGCAGATGCGGTCTGCCTGACATTCGGGCGGTGCTGTGCCTGCGCTGGCTGGTGCCCAGCGAGCTGCTGGCTGCACTGCTGGGCGCGCTCTTGTAGCATGGCCAGGGCTTTCACATGCCCACCCGGTAGGGTTGCCAACTGTCTAATCGTGCAAACTCAATGACCTTTGCCCCGCCCCTGCCCTGCCCCTTCCCTGAGACCACACCTCTGTCTCGCCTCTTTCTGGGGCCCCGCCCCCTGCTCACTCTATCCCCCCTCCCTACATTGCTTGCTCTCCTCCACCCTCACTCACTTTCACCAGGCTGCAACAGGGGGTTGGGGTGCGGGAGGGAGTGTGGGGTGCAGGCTCTGGGAGGGAGTTTGGGTGCGGGGTGCAGGCTCTAGGCTGGGGGTTGGAGTGCAGGAATGGGACGGGGGGGCAGCGCTTACCTCGGGCAGCTCCCAAAAGTGACCGGCACACCCCTCTGGCAGCAGCTCCTAGGTGGGAGGCCCTGGGGGTTTCCACGCACTGCTGCCTGCAGGCACCACCCCCGCAGCTCCCATCGGCCACAGTTCCCAGCCAATAGACACTGCAGAGTCAACACTCGGGGCAGGGGCAGCATGTGGAGACCCCATCCCCAGGATCTGCAGGAACTGGCTGGCCACTTCCGGGACCGGTGCGGCACAAGGGCGGGCAGGAAGCTTGCCTTAGCCCCACTGCACTGACGGTGGAGGCGGTCCCAGGCCCTTTTAAATCACCCAGGCCCCTGGGCAATTGCCCCCTATGCCTCCCCTGTTGGTGGGCCTGCATGACCCCACCCTGATTATTCCTAATAGGAGCACAAATAACATGGGTGTAGGTGTGTGTACATGTAGGTGACATTACAGAGCCAGACTTGCAGACCACAATCCATCCTCTGTGCTATGCTCTCTCATCCCCTGCATGGCTCGTACAGCAGAGAGCCTGTGCGGTGGCCATTTCAGTAGGTAAGAGGCTAGAATTGCTGATGGGATTCTGTGCTACCAGCCAGAATTTGGGCCAGGGAAAGAGAGCCACAGATTAGGCACTAAAATAATGTTATATCTAAGGATCATTCAGAGACCCAGTTCATCTCCTTTCCAAACCACAGCACACGAGAGGTGAAAGACCTAATATAATAGCCTAAGGCGCCTCTCCCTCCTTAACCATCAGTCAACTGCCTTCATTAAAGAGCTGCTCCTGCTCCTCTTAAAGCCAATGATGAAATTCCCTCTGAGTTCAGAGAGAACAAGACTGAGTGCTAAGGAGCCGAAATGTGACCTTAGCTGTTTTGTCCCCCAACAGAGATCAGAGGTGCAGACATCTGTCACGGGGTGCTCCACTCACCTCTAGTCTGGTGCCTCCTCCTGGTCACTCTGGGGATTAGTTCCTGAGGTCAATGCTTCTGTCCACAATTTGGACGCCATCACTCCAACTCAGGTCTGCAGCTCCTCTGGCTCCAGGACCTTCAGTGCTTCCTTTGTGCCTCAGCCCACCAGCCAGGCCACTCAGCATTCCACCTTCCAGGGTTCAGTCCATCAGCAGTCCTAGGCCGTCAGTCCATTTGCTGCCCTCAGTGGCTGGTAGGGGAACCTGGACCTGCCCTCTGCTCCGAGTTCTAGTCCAGGGACGCTCAACTCAGCAGTTCTGGGCTTTCCTCTCCCAGCCCTCACTGCTCCTTCCCTGGACTGCTGCCTACCACATCCAGCTCCCCTTCTCTCTCTGGGTGTCCCAGCTCCAAGAACCTTTTTCCCAGGGACTGACTGCTGCCTGCCTTCCTGCAGTCTTCCGAAGCACTCCTCCCTCTTCCCAGGAAGCAACTGCCCTCACTCAGCAGCAGCAGTCTAGTCTGTAGCCCACTTTACAGGCCCTGCCTGTTTCTGCACAGGTGAGCCTGTTCTCTTATAGAGGCCTCCAGCCAAAAGCTCCCTAATTTGCAGCATAATTAGCTGATTGGGCCCACCTGGCCCAATTTGGGTCTTGCAGGGCTAGTGTGGGTATCTCCCTCCATCACAACATCTCAGACTCCAGTGGTTTTTTTGTGGGAGGGTTTAATGTCATTTTCTGTTGGGTGTCTGATTTGATGCCAGTGATGGTGAGGGCTGTAGAACAATGTGGAACACAAGCTCTGCCTAAGCACACCCATCCTGATTTGCTTCACCATGCAGTGGTTCCAGCCCTGGGCTCTGCCAAATGCCCCTCAGTCCGGAGTCTGATCTGCACCATTCCTACTATTCCAGGGATGGGTATCTCTAAAACAGATGGTCAGTCATGCAGGCTCCAGCCCTCTGAAATACACACATCTCTACAGAGTTGGGGACCCAATGTCCTCAAAAGATGCAGTAAAGTTAAACTCGGAACAGCCAGTGAATCACCAGCGAGAGCATTTTCCTCAGGGCCTCACTTTTTATTTTAATTTATTTTAGTTGTTTTTAAGCTGAAACTCTTTGGCCCCAGGATACATGATTAGAGCATGAAATGAAACTTGGCCATGTGAGAAGAATGTGGTCCAACAAAGGCGGAGTACATGTACATACAGTACACGACCATGATGGGTTAGTGTGGCCTGTTAGTCTAATATGTCCTCTCTCTGGGGAACTACATCTCACATTTGCAGGGGGACTGGCTAGCGGATCAAATAAGTCTTTTTGTCACAAGCCAAATCAACTCCCTGAATCAGAACATCCTTGAATTTTGGGGCGATTCAAAATCTGAACCCAGATCTGCATATGGATTTTGCAGCTAGTCCCTAGCTCTATAATGGGCTGAATCAAAACTCCACATCTAGTTCTGGAGAGGTTCCAAACCCAGACCCAAATTTTGCAGTTTGAAGCCATCTCTACTATTTTCCCATCAGTGACTCTCATATTTCATGTCCCTCTTATTAGTGTTTGCCAGTCACAGGGAACCAAATGAGCAAGAAGACAGAGGAAGGAGGCCAGAATCTGGCTTTTTATTTTTAGCAGTACCTCTTGCGAAGGCAGAAAACTCCCCTTCCCTTCCAGTTTTGTCATTTCTTATTAATGATGGGCCTGAACCAAAACACAAATTCGACTGTGGGAGAGTTTGAAACCTGAAGCTGGATCTGAGATTTGAACTCAGGTAGCAGAGCAATGGGCATATTAACAATAACTAAATGGACATTCAGATCTCACATTGCTAGTATAGGTCCTTCTCCATCTTTCCCCCTACCCTCCCAATGTTCATTATCCATTTCACATTCCCTCTTCTTCTAATGCTGATACATAAAGATACAAATTGCTAAGATTGGCCCCTCTATCTTTTTAGCAGCTGAATGAAAATCCCCATATCCAAACTTTGCAGTTTCTGAAAACCAGGCCCCTTTAAGGTGTCTTGAATTGTGCACCTAAACTCACTAGTCACTTTTGAAAATTATGACCATTGTATGACCTTGGAAAAATCATCTAACTTCTCTGTGCCTCACGTTTTTTCATCTGAGAGTGGGAATACTAATACTCAGCTGCTTCATAGGGGGTTGTGAGATTTAATTCATTCATGTTTGCAAAGCTTATTGAGCAAACTGCTATTATTATTTTTCACTGGAATGCTCCTTGGGGCAAGAACACATTTGTTTCCTTATATATGAATTGGAATCCTTCCCAAATGGCCAAAGGCCAATGTGCTAATGTCATAACTTTTCATAAGCAAGTCAGCATCTTAAGTCTTGTACAGGAGTCATTCCTCTCTCTCCGACTGTAAATAAAACCATCACCTGCCATAATGTTTATAAAATGTTGTTCTTTGTCCAGACTACTTTGTCGATAGAGGGAATGTTCAAATACTTCCGGAAGCGCTTTGCCAGCCATCTGACGGAACGCAGTCGCCGAAGAGCAAGGCTGGTATCTAAAGATGGAAGGTGTAACATAGAGTTTGGGAACGTGGAAGAACAGTCACGGTTTGTCTTCTTGGTTGATATATGGACCACCATCCTGGACCTAAGATGGAGATACAAGATGACCATCTTCATCTCAGCATTCTTAGGCAGTTGGTTCCTATTTGGTCTCCTTTGGTACGTTGTGGCATATATACATAAAGATCTTCCTGAATTCAGTCCTTCGATAAACCACACCCCATGTGTGGAGAACATAAACGGCTTGACCTCTGCTTTCCTGTTCTCCCTGGAAACCCAGGTTACCATTGGCTATGGCTTCCGGTGTGTCACAGAGCAGTGTGCCACTGCCATTTTTCTGCTGATCTTCCAGTCTATTCTTGGGGTCATCATCAACTCTTTCATGTGCGGTGCTATCTTGGCCAAGATTTCGAGGTCCAAGAAACGGGCCAAGACCATCACCTTCAGCAAGAATGCTGTCATTAGCAAACGAGGCGGCAAGCTGTGCCTCCTTATCCGGGTGGCCAACCTTAGGAAGAGTCTACTGATTGGGAGCCACATCTATGGGAAGCTTCTGAAGACGACCATCACTCCAGAAGGAGAGACTATCATCTTGGACCAGGTCAACATAGACTTTGTGGTGGATGCTGGCAATGAGAACCTCTTCTTCATCTCCCCATTAACTATTTACCATGTCATTGATAGGACCAGCCCGTTCTTCCACATGTCAGTGGAAACCATCCTCCAGCAGGATTTTGAGCTAGTGGTATTTTTAGATGGCACAGTGGAAGCCACTAGTGCTACCTGTCAGGTCAGGACATCCTATATCCCAGAGGAGGTACTCTGGGGCTACCGCTTTGCTCCCATCGTGTCCAAGACCAAGGAAGGGAAGTATAGAGTAGACTTCCACAACTTCAGCAAGACTGTGGAAGTAGAGACTCCTCACTGTGCCTTTTGCCTCTACAATGAGAAGGATGCTAAAGCCAAGGCAAAGAGAGGTTACGACAACCCTGGCTTCATCCTATCAGAAGTCAATGAAACCAGCGACACAAAAATGTAGCTCTGTATGCTCATGGGACTGGGGCATTTTTTATCGTGACACAAACTCAATATGGAGATGCCCAATAACCTAGTAGCGCAGAAGAAAAACGAACAGGGCTGGTTTGACATGAAAATAGCTCCTGATTTCTCAAAAGAATTAAATCAAATCAGACCACCACACCAGTGATCTCCGGGAGGCTATTTAACTGCACTATATTATATATATTTTCATAGAATGTATATTTTTTATACCTATGGGATGTTCATTTAAGCTGCTAAATTGGAATGTCCGACTCACTCAATGAAGTTCCCAGATGCATTTGAGCCATAAGCAAGTCTGACAACATGCCTTAAAAGAAGAGACATGGGGAGGGCTCCAGATATGCTGAAGAGGAGCGGTTCTTGGGATGAAATGTGAAAAGAAGAGATAACAGGTAAAAAATCTTCAAAAGCGCCTAAAGGTACAGCTACAATCCCACCTGACTCCCTAGTTACGTACTAGGGCAGGTGGGATTATTCAAGCAGAATTAATGCATGTACATCTACCCAAGCTGGTAATTACACCAGCTGCTGTGTAGACATATCCTAAGTGACATAGGAGCCTAAACTCCATTTTCATAATTGAAATAAATGAGAGTTAGGTGCCTAAATACTTTTGAAGATCTAGGCCATAGAGCCTACATCTCACTGATTTTCTCCTAGTAGCCTAAGTCACTTTTGAAAATGGGACACAGGTTCCTAAGTCACTTAGGTTCTTTTGAAAATTTGACCCCAGGATCTCTTCTTTCTTTCTCTGTTCAACTCTTGTTAATCTATTGTAGTGAAGCCTTAGTACATTCTATCTTCTTGGAAAGCTAGAAGCAAAGGCAAAGTTTGGGTCATGATGATGTATTTAGAGCTGGCGAGAAAATTGAATTTCCTTCCCATGAAATATTCTGATTTTGTGGAAGAATATTTTTTGTCCCAAATCAGAAGAAAATGTCAAAAAATTGAATTTTTTTTGTAGGAGGAAAAAGTCTGAAAAATTCCATTTTGGGAGAACCAAAACAGAATTATTTGCCTTGCTCCCAGCTGACGGATTCACTCTCATAGGACTTCCCAGGAAGCTGACTGCGTGGCAGGTCAGGTGGCCCCATGAGGCTGCTGTCCAGGCAATCTGGGAGCTGGGGGAGACAGGGCTGGCGGGAAAAATGGTTTGATGGAATTGACATGTTCATGGAGAACATGTTGATTCCTTGGAATCAGCATTTTCTCATGGAAAAGTGTCCCATTGTACATTTTTTGACCAGCTTTAGATGTATCCTTTCAAGAAAAAAGGTACTTTAAAAATACAAAACAAAAAATAAAATATATAATTATCTGAAGCACAATAGGTCTTTGCCTACAACACTAGCAATGAGGATGTAGAGACACTCAAAATTGAATTTTCTAAAGGCCGAAACCAATTGAATAATAAATAAATAAATAAATAAATAAATAAATAAGTCAACTGAAAGATTCCCATTGACTTCAATGGGCTTTGGATTAAGCCATAAGTCATACATCTTATTTATGCAAGCAAAACATTCACATGCATGAGACACTGAGCTTTCAATCAGTAACAATCAGGCGTGCAAAGTATATTGAGCATAGCTGGTCAACATTTTTCTAATTTTGATGTTTCAATGAAGTTTGAAACACCAATGGGAAGTTTCAGCCAACATTTTGTGAATTTTTCACTATGCCCTTCCCGTTTTTTCAACTGAGTTCTACTGTTGAGTGTCCAAATGATGGACCAAAGAGAAGTGGGTGATCCTGGGGCTTTTCCCCATCAGTTTAATCAACACAAGTCCATGTTGAACATGGTTATGATGCAAATGACATTCTAAATGCTGTTTGAAGTGTTGTTGTAGCTGCATTGGTCCCAAGATATGAGAGAGACAAGGTGGGCGAGGTAATATTTTTTACTGGACCAACTTCTTGTCTCGTTCACCAACAGAAGTTGGTCCAATGAAAGGTATTACTTCACCCCCTTCTAAATGCTGACAGATCTGAACAGTTTGAATGGAAAAGGAGAATTAAGCAGGCAAAATTACAAGAATCATACTGAGAGTTATTTTGAGAATGAGTGGGATGGGGTGTAGTGTAGAGATCTGGGTATAGGACAGGGAGCCAGGAACTCTCATGTCCCAATCCCATTTCTCATAGCAACTCTTTCTTTGGCTTTGGGCAAATCACTTTAACGCACACTTTAGGGTCTCCACCTATAATATGGGATGACAGCACTCACCTGTCTCCCAGGGGTGTTGTGAGGAACAATTAGTTAATGCCTGTAAAGCATTTGAAGATTAGTCAGTCCTAAGTATGAAGAGTGACCAACCCTTCATTGTACATTCTCCTCTCCTCCACCCACCCCTGCTATGTACAGTACTTCTTTTCTTGTGGGCAGAAGGGTTAGCATTGCTTCTTAGTGCAGGTGGATACAAAGAGATGTTTGTTTTAATGTCGTGCATCCAGATGCAACAGTGATGAGCACATTGTAAGTTATTAAAATAAAATGTCATAGAAGACGGCATGCTGAGTTTGTCCCCTGCCTGAGTCTGTCTAGCCTGCTTCCTGAGTCAGCCTTCTTTAGCACCTGCATGGTACTAATTGCCCAATACCTTGGTGTTGGTTCAGTTTTTCAACCTCATAAATTTCAGTTGAGATGGTCTAGGTTCGTGTCAGTGTTGTAATGGTAAAGCTTCCTCTGTCTGTCTTAGGTACTCATATGACACCCACCACCCTGTATCTGAGTACCTCACAACCTTCAGCCTCTCCACATCTCTGGGAGGTAGGAAAGTATTGTTATCCCCATTTTACACATGAGGAACTGAAGCCCAGAGAGGCTAAGTGATATACTCAAGCTCACACAGGAAATCTTTGGCAGAGCAAGAACTTGAACCCAGGTCTCTCAGCCCCTAAACACTGGCCCATCCTGTCACTCATGTCCTTTCCCTAGATGTAGCCTAGTCTAGCATCTACAAGCTTCCCATACTGCTCCACTTGCATGGGATCCCCTGAGAGGAATACAGCCTAGGCCCAAGGAGGGAAGAGCTATACTGCTCTGTCCCAGCAGGAGACAAACACCAGGCTGCCTTCAGAATTAAAACTAAGAAGATTCTGTTTCCCCTTGAACAAAGGTAAGAATTCTACAAAGCCTGACACAGAGCCACTGAAACTCCCGAGCCTGAGACAACTCCCAGTAACGTATATAGAGAGAATCCCATTGCTGGTTTGGGGCCTTAGGAATGGAAACGGTCCAGTAGGTCCCATCTAGTTCCACTCCAACACCAAGTCTGGCTGGCTCCTTACTGCATGTTCTTCAGATCCCTTTGAAAGATCTCTGAGGGATGGGGCTCCCCTCACTGCTCTTAGAAGTCTATCCCACAAGCTCTTTGGGGGCAGGGACCGTCTTTTTGCTCTGTGTTTGTACAGTGCCTAGCACAATGGGGTCCTGGCCATGACTGGGGCTCCTCTGAATCTTCATAATTGTAAAAAGGGAACAGATCTCAGTGTCAGGATGGTTTCCCCCAGGACAAAGGACCATCCTTGGCCTTGGTACCCTTCAGCTATCTGTGGGTGGTTATGATGACTCCCTATAGTTGTTGATCAGCCAAAGGAAGGAAATAAAAGTTGGCTTAAAAAAAAACAGACTAGAGAAAAGAAACCGAAAGAAAAAGGGATTGAAGTGGACAAGAGAAGACAAGTTAAAGGCTCACTAGCCACCTCCTCTTGGGCTCGGAGCTCTTCCCGAGTCCTGCACAGATGCGCTGGGTGTGAGACCATGTCCCTGCCCCTTCCAATCCACCGGAGCATTCATGAAGGATAAATCAGAATTTAGCCCATTGTGAGGCATTTTACCTTTTCTTTTTACCACTTTCCTACTTAACCATCCTTAACCTGCTTAGAGATGCATGAGAGGAAGGCTCGTGCAGTGGTTAGAGCACTGGATTGGCAGGCGAGAGATCTGGGCTTGTTCCTGGCCTTGACATAGGGCGAGGCACTTTACCTTTCTGTGCCTCACTTCTCTCTTCTCAGCAATGGGGCTCACATGCCATAACTCACACGGCACATGAGGCTGTGCAATTTGCAGAGTGCTTCGAGAGCCTCGGACGGAAGAAATGCTACCCAGCACCTTGCAGCTGCAAATCTCAAAGTACTTCACAAAAGAAGGCTCAACCCCAATTTTCCAGATGGGGAAACTGGGGCAAAGCCACTTGGCCAAGGTCATGGGCAGAGCCAAGAATAGTACCCAGGTCTTCTGACTCCCAGTCTGGTGCTTGATTCCCTACACCTCACTGTCTGGGTGGTACGGGTGTCCATAAGAATATTTTTATTAGCTCATGAGCTCTTACCTATATGGCTCCAAGATGGCCCTGCTATACCATGAGAAGTAATAATGCTAGTATACATTAATTAGCTAGGACAATAGTTCTCAACCTTTTCCATCATCAGGAGCCCTTCCCATCTAGTGAGAATTCCTCTCCCACTTGATAACATGGGAAAGGGTCTCTTGAACCCTTCCCCCCCCCACACACATGAACCCTAGAACCCATGAGCTGGGACAACAGAGAGGAGAATCGGAGGGGGATAATCCTCAGGTCAATGGCAACATGGCCAAAATGCAACGGCAAGCCTGTATTTGTTCCTTTGAGCTGGCTCATGCTGGGAGCTAACCGAGAGTCTTGGAATGAAACGCATTCCTCCCACGAAGCCCCCGCTGATTGTCACCACAGGAAACGCCTGCCAATCCCGGCCTGACAGTGGAGCAGCAGGCAGAAGATAGAGTGTGTTAGTCAGACCCCAGCAGCGGCAGAACAATGAGTGGAATTTCCTCTTTCTGTCCAGTGAGGGTGTTTGTCACGCGGCAGATAAAGTCCCAGGGCAGGGAAGAAAGGTTATCGGGAGACACGCTGGGTACAATGCCACTCGGGATGGAGTCCATAGGAAATCCATTTCAGGGCCTGTCATTCCATTGCCATTAAAAGAAAGTTCAGT